TTTTGAAAATAAAATTCTAAATTAAGCCTTTTTGACCTTGAGCTAACTTGGAATATTTCAGAGGGCCGCTAATACATACCAAGATTTCTCTCTCCCTGTAAAAAGAGATATTAAACTAATTAGGCTTTTGTTATATTGCATGGGAAGGATTTGCAAATAAGTAATGCAAAAGTAATTTTAGGTTGCATTTGTTTGGATACATGTTATTAATATGTTTCAAAATCTGTATGAAATTCCTGGAAGTCTGATGTGTCCTAGAATAATGTTGTCACTTGTAACTCTCGTTATTATCTTAAAATATACGTCACAGGAACAACCAAATGTCCTTGTTAATTGTGTTATAATGAGCTCTCATCTGATCTTTAACCATGAGCATTTTAAAGTCTTTTGTCATCTGCAGAAATTATTTTGCTTTTGCACGAGTGCCTCATCTTCAGGGAGATTCATGGAAAGGACTCTGAAAAGTACAGGTTTGTGATAACTTTTAAATCACACCACTGAATTGAGTGAGAGTAAATCAGGAAAATTCTAAGGAAAAAATGGATTCCTTAAACCTGCTAACAAAGGATCAAGATCAACAAGTATTTTCTGGTACACAAAGAATTTATTATCTGGGATGCAATGAAATAATAAGGAAGACTATAATTTTTTTTAATTTAAATTATTTTTTCCAAATATATTGTCTCTGCCTTCCCCCCACCACTTTCCCTTGCCCCCTCCCCCCTCTCCCTCCCTCAATCCTTCCCCTTTGGTTTTGTCCATGAGGCCTTGCTATAGGTTCCTTGACTTTCCCCTTCCCTTCCTCCCCCACCCCACCCCGCCCCACCGCCCACCCCTCCCTCCTTCCCTCTTGTCTCTGTTGGTTTCTTTTCCTTTCAGTATTGCTGGTCTTATTTTCCTTGCATCTTTGTATTGTTGGTTAGGTTCCACTTATAGGTGAGATCATATGGTATTTGTCTTTCACCCCCTGGCTTATTTCACTTAGCATAATGCTCTCCAGTTCCATCCATGCTGTCGCGAAGTTTAGTAGTTCTTTTTTTCTTTCTGCTGCGTAGTATTCCATTGTGTAAATGTACCATCATTTTTTGCTCCAATCATCTACTGATGGGCATTTAGGTTGCTTCCAACACTTGGCTATTGTAAATTGTGCTGCTATGAACATTGGGGTGCATAGGTTCTTCTGAATTAGCGTTTTGGTATTCTTAGGATATAGTCCCAGCAGGGGAATCACTGGACCAAAAGGCAGTTCCATTTTCAGCTTTTTGAGGAAATTCCACACTGCTTTCCACAGTGGCTGCACCAGTCTGCATTCCCACCAACAGTGGACTAGGGTTCCCTTTTCTCCACAGCCTCGCCAGCACCTGTTGTTTGTGGATCTGTTTCTGATGGCCATTCTGACCGGTGTGATGTGGTATCTCATTGTAGTTTTGATCTGCATTTCTCTGATGGCTGGTGATGCCGAGCATCCTTTCAAATGTCTCTGGGCCCTCTGTATCTCCTCCTTGGAAAAGCGTCTGCCCAGGTCCTTTGCCCATTTTTTGATTGGATTGTTTGTCTTCTTGGAGTGGAGTCAAGTGAGATCTTTATATATTTTGGAGATCAAACCTCTATCTGATGTATCATTAGCAAATATATTTTCCCATATGGTTGGCTCCCTTTTCATTTTGCTGATGTTTTCTTTAGCCGTGCAGAAGCTTCTTATTTTGATGAGGTCCCACTTGCTTATTCTTTCATTTATGTCTCTTGCTTTAGGAGACATATCGGTGAAAAAATTGCTGCGTGGGATATCTGAGTTTCCTGCCAATGTTCTCCCCTAGGACTTTCATGGTGCTGCGACTTATATTTAGGTCTTTTATCCATCTTGAGTTTATTTTTGTGTATGGTGTCAGCTGATGATCAAATTTCAATTTTTTGCATGTAGCCGGGAAGGCTATAATTTTTATAACTTTTTTAATGTTTTGTTTTTCCAGATTTAAGGAAACTTTTTTTCTTTTAAACTATCTATCACTGACAGCAATTTGCTAAGTATACCTTTGTGAACAAGATGAAACAATTTCTCTTCTCGCCACCTGATTTCTGTAGAATTTGGAAATTTGGAGTATTCTTGTTTTCATGACAACATAGTTATTTGCATATGTTCAATAAGAATCTGTTCTTGTAACAGAGCACAATTGGAAACAGCGGTTTTATTACCAAGACTTTGACTGGAAGATCACATATGAGAATGCGCAAAGAATCATGTATGACCAGTTTTAAGAAGTTTTAATAAAGCCCCTTGGAAAAGCCACCTTGCTTACAGGGTTCCTGGCAGCCTTAGCAGGTAAGTAAGGAAGGTCATTTCCTGGCACTTGCAGGAATCTTAGCATATATTGGGGACCTTGAGAAGAGAGGAAGTAACCCAAATGTATAGACAGGTATTGCAGGCAAAGTTTGAGGGCAAGACCTTGGCTTGGATTCCTCGCCTTGATAGGCTTTTGACAATTTCCAACCTGAGATTCCTTTTGAAAAGTTCCAACAAAGCAGATATTAAAATTGCAGATCAACCACTATTCTTGCTGCACTTAAGGTAAATAATCAAGCCAAGTTTATTGAGACTGGATTTATTTTGAAAACAAGTTCATTTCACTGTAATTACCTTTGGTAAAAATGGGATGAGAGAAAAATGATGCTAAAGTAGAAACTATGATGCATGTTGAGGCTTATTCTAGTCCTGTTAACTGAGGTTTCATTTCCAAACTATAACCTGGACTGGATCCTGAATTCTTCTAGTTTTCTCAAATAATCTGGCTACAACTCTTCAAACTAACATTTCCATTTCCCTTACTCTTTTGACTTGGAATCAATAAGAACAAATCTCATGAAATTCCTAGAAATCTGGTATGTCCTGGTAAGTTATCACTTGTAATTCTAGTTATCTGAAGAGGCTTGTCACAGAAATAACCAAATTTATTTGTCAACTGCATTATAATGAACTCTCATCAAATCTTTAACCACAGTCATTTTTAAGCCTTTTTCATTTACGGAAGTTATTGTGTTGTTTTTGCAAAAGAGTTTCCAAAACCCCTGCAAACAGAATGTGAACACTTTGATATAAACTTCAGCTAAATGGTCGCAGTAGCTCCTGTTCAGACTCTTCCTGTCTGTGTTGTATGGGCCACTGAGAAAGTTGACCTGAACACTCTGTGACATCAGACACATTTAAACTGCAAAAGATGCTTCACCTAGAAATCCTTTGACTGGCTGCCCTCAGGACTCCGACAAATAGCACAATTTGTTCCAACCATTAACTGTGTTTTCTTTTGTTTCCATAGAAGTGCCTCTTATTAAATATCTAGCTGCTTCCACCTTATAGGCCTACCTTAGGGAGCCCACCTGCAGTATCACATCCTGAAATGAAAAACAACTTTAACTGATCTATTCTCAAGATTAAGAGACTGGTTGATGGAAATAATACAGCTGTCTATCAACTCAGCTTCTGGAGTGAGAAGTCCCTTTGATGTTTCAAACATCAGACTAAAGGGGAGCAGAATATCCCACCCCAAAATATGCCTCTTTGGCATACAGATTTTTTTTGAGCTGATTATTTTTAAGAAACAACAGACATGGGAAAAGTTCTGAAAATGTGGAAGTAGTGATCCTTTCATAAGGGAAACAAAGTTATAACAGAAATCTCTCCGTTTGTAAAGGTGCTACGCTCTCTGTGCCTGGAAGGGGACCGCTCCAAATCAGAAGGCCTCTTACCAATGGGCAATGATGCAGCTTAAATCTGTGAAACCACCGTACCCTGCCTTACTGCGATTTTCCTGGTACCCTCCCTTAACTGGCTTCCCTCCCCACCCCCAAGCACAATGTGAGGGCTTGGACTGCTTGTTGGAGAGTTACTCAGTTTTCCTGGATGTCTCTGATGTTCTTAAACTTTTGTTTTTCTCCTATTAATCTCTCTTTTTATTACAGGACTAGGTCTCAGCCAAGACCTGAAAAGGGAAGGGTAAGATTATTTTTCCTTTTCTATAAAGACCTTTAGAAAGTTTCTAAGTAGTTAACTGTGAAAGTTACAGCATTTTTCTTTTTAGGAGCAGAACCATACATCAACCATGACCTTAAAGAAACACAGCATACAGTGCTAATGGCAGAATGGTATATTTGTAGCCTCCTCGGAAAGGCACAGCGCACATGGTTGAAAGAGCACATTGCGGTGGCCAGCAGAACTTTGGCAGGGGTTACATTACATTTCTTAAACAATTGTGGCTTTTAGCCATTTCATAAGTGTGTAAGACCTGGTCACATACATTGGAATACACGCACACACACTTTTCAACAATATAATAACATACATGCTATCCAGAGCCCATTTGCCTTATGTCGACTTTGGCTTTATGGTGATCAAACTGTGGCAAAACCAAAGTAAATGGACTGACATAGTCATTAGTTTGGCTTAGAAAGCTAACACAAAAAAAAGAACTATTTTAAAAAACCTTGGACATGTTGAAGGCATCATACTTTTCAGCATAAAAAGAGAAAAACACTCAAAAATGCCTCAAAATTATAAGATTTAATAAAAAGCTTAAAACAACTTTTTAAAAAGTCACCCCAATTAATCCTGGCGGTCTCGAGCCATGATATCTAAAATTAATAGGCCCTCTTGTTATGTGATTTTCTAATGGCTGTTAAACACACTTACATACAATTTAAAAAGAAACAGTAAATCACAGTGGCTTTTTAAAATTCTATAAAACTTCAAATTCAAAAATTGCACAGAACCTTACAGCCAAAAGTCAAGAAAAGAAATATAAAAACAATTGTGGAATAAAGACCTCTTTAAAAGTTTCGTTAACCTCAAAAATCTTTCAAGCTCCATCACCCGTCTCTGTCCCTGTGGCCCGCGGGCAGACGTGGCACAGCCCGCGGGCCGGGCGGCCGGCGTCAGGAGCACTCAGAAATCAAACGCGCCGGGCCTGCCGCCCTGCCGCCCGGGGCTGGCGAGGAGTGGACAGCAGCTTTTAAACGAGGTTGAACTCTTTCAAGTTTAGCTGTAGAATTGTGTCTTTCACAGCAGCGAACACAAAGCGGATGTTCTCTGTGTCTGTAGCACACGTGAAGTGGGAGTAGATGACTTTCTCTTTGTCAGGATTCTGGTCTTGATAAAGCTTCAGGATAAAGTCTTTGGCAGCTTTCACGTCCTGCTTTGGTCCTGGTCACAAAGGCAGTGAGAGGAATAAAGAAGAGATGGACTCACCACCACGTACTCCGCAAAATTAGGTCCAGGGTACTCTTGTCCTTATTTGGGACCCTTCTTTAAGCTGTCTTATTTCTAGAGAATAGTTTTCCTGGGGCATTATTTTTTTTTTTTATTATCTCTCTTTATAAAAAAGAGTATTTTAAAGTGTCTGCTGGTATCTAAAAATTGTACTTTAAGGCAATTGGTTGAAAAATAGTGACCCAATTTAACTTTCTGACTTGGACCACTTTTAAAGAGAGGTCATTCTTGCTAACTCAGGCAGACAGAACTGGGCTAGGAGAGGGGAGAAGCAGAATATGGGGACTAACAGAATTAGCCACCCGAGTCTGATTTTAAAACTGGTGGGCTCCTGTACTACGTGGCCAACGCAGTTAGCGAAAGTTAAAAGCAAAGTGCTAAAATATTACTCGTCTAAATACCAATGTCAAACTTACTAATCTTTGAGACCCTGGTACCGAAATAATTAGAGTAGGTCATAAACTCTCCTGGAGCGGCCGTGTATATAAAGAAACTCAGTGCCTGCCCTGCTGCGTCCGCTAAAAGGGCCGCCACACTTGAACCTACGCGTGAGAGTGCCCGGCGCTCTGATGGGCACGAGGGATGCAGAGGCAAGTCAGGCAGAGTCTGCCCTCAGGAGCCGGCTGTGGGGGGAGCATGGCGAGCCCAGGCTGCCAGGGAGGCCCAAGGGAGGTGTGCCTGCTGGGGAGGGTGGGGTGAGGGTCAAGGGGAGGGTCGGAGGACTTCCCAGAGGAGGAGGTAACAGAGGGAGCTGGCTGGTGTATTCCAGGCCCTGGGAGAAGTGTGTGGAGGCAAAAACACGGACGCAACTGACCATTCATTCAAAGGAAGGTGAGAAAGTCTGTAAAAGGCAGACCAGGGAAGCCCCAGGAGCCACATTAAGAGCTCTGGACTGATGTCAGCAAGGTCGACAAGATGGACACATACCTGTGTATTCTGGAAAGTAGCTAATTAGATGAGAGTACATGATTTTCTCTTCCAAAAGATCCTTCTTGTTTAAGAACAAAATCACGGATGAGTTCAGAAACCAGGGGTAGGTGATGATGGTTTTAAATAAGGCTTTGCTCTCTTCCATGCGGTTCTAAGTGAGAAGAAAAGGCACTTAGAGTCACTAGAAAGAAAGGCAGTACTTTAGAAACAACATGCCCATCACTGGTTCTATCTGTCTGACCTGTCACGCAGCCGCAGGCTGGGGGTCCCTGTCCTTACTGAAGCTGGTAAGCACATGGGGGCCCTCAGCCTGCCACGTGCCCCATCCCCACCCTCCTGAGTCACCCCCTCGGGCTCTCCCCTCCTCCAGCACCTCAGTCCAGCCCCACAGATGCAAGGCTGTAAGGAAGACTTCTGTGCAACATGGAGAAAGAGGGTTCTTACCCATATGTGACAAAAGTTTTGTGTGTCATTATTGGGATTATCAAATGGGGGAAGTTCACACTTTCAGACCCGAGACACCCATTTGATGGGGTGTTGTGGGACAATGAGAGGAAGACTTGCTCTCACAGCAGGGCCACCACCCTTAGAAATGCTGGACACCGGAGAGGAGGGGACCCAGGCTACCGAGCAAGGACCCTGTGCTGCCCCTGGCACACCGGAAATACTGGCGCGCTGCACAAGGGAGTGGGGTCCCCAGGTGATGGGCGGGCATACCGTTGGTCACGAAACTTAAACATCTTCCCAAGCCCATATAATGTCAGGATTTGGTGGAGATCAATGCAGAGGGACAGCAAGGTTTCTGAGCATTAGACATTGGCAAGAAAAATATTAATTGTTCCTAATTTATGGAGAGCAGACAGGGCACATACAAATCTTATCTGGTGACAATAATTGTTGTAGATAGCATTCTGCTCTCTCAAGTATTTCTAAGAGGGAAGAAACAAGAACTTCCCTTTCAGGAGTCCTGAAAAGCATCAAAGCCCAGAGGGACATACAGTAAATCTCCATTTCCCTACCCCTGCCAAACACACGGGCTCATTCTCCCGCTCAATATGTTTTTAGGGATTAAGATTTGGAATTTATTGCCAGAGCGGTAACCTCTTGTGGCTTTTAAAGCTTCTTTAAAAAGTATTATGATCTTATTAATAATAACCTCTAAGGAAATACAACATATGAAAAAAATAATTTCTATACAGCACAATGAAAGGAGGCAACACCTGTCTGCAACCAGGAGGGAAGGGTCCAGAGTGGCAGCCACTTAATTTTTCTCCAGACACCTGTGTGTGTGTTGTGTTTTGTTTTGAGGACAGGGAAACTTTAATTTTTTAGTACACTGGGCTGAAGAATTTGTCCCTTGCACATCTGCGTAATCTTTTGAGTTTCTTGAGACAAATTTGGAGCCAATTTTTCATATTAACAACTCAAGGACTTTCCTTTTAAAAAAATTTCTCTGCTTGAAAAGCTGGGTGGCAGCCAAGATTTCTGTTCTTCTTCACACAATGACACTAACAAATGGGTTAACCCTCCACTAATTAGCTACTGTAACAGTGCTCCTCAGAGAAAAGTCTGCTCTGAAGAAATACAAGATGTGATTTGTTCATAGTTATTACCTAATCCTGGACGGACTTCTTTATTGATTTACTTTTATGCCCTAGAAGCAAGAGACATTTTTCTTCAAAGTCAAGAAGACTTGTGAAGAGCAGGGGAAAAGACGGTGGGAGGACAATGCTGTCCCATGGAAAAAGCCCCCATCCTCCCCAAGAAGGGGCTGTGCCGGTCACTTTCTGGGCAGAGAGCCAGCTAATGGCGTTGGCCCCAGCCAGCGCTGTGCACTCTGCAGAGAGTACTAAGCCCGGCGGGGTGGATCCGTCCCAGCTGCCCTGAGCTGGTCCTGTCCAGGGGAAGTGAGGGCAGGCACCATCCAGGAGGCCCCTGAACAGCTGCAAGCATCTGGTGCCACTCCCCATGCCAGCTCAGCTGGGACCTACGGCAGGAGGGCCACGGAGGGTGGGAAGCCTGTTCTCAGGTCAAGTTTATTAGACATAAATAGCATTGTTCAACTTCGGCAGTACCTTCGCATCCCTAGGGGATGTGGAAAAGATGCCCCCACCTCAAACCCAGCAACATGAATCTCTACTGTGGGGTCCAAAAGATGGTATTTGGTTTTTTGTTGTGTGTTTTTTTTAGTTTTGTTTTGTTTTTCAAAACTCCCCACGAGATTTGAACCTGCAGCCCAGGCTGAGAACCAGGGCTTTGGGGTGGCCCCGCCCCGGCAGCACATCAGACTACGTCCCACACTCAGGCCGCACACACCACCAGTTACATCAGAATCTCAGGCTGAATCCAGGCACCCGGTTTTCCCACAGGTGCCCATGGAGCTCCAATGCGCCCCCAACTGTGAGAACCAGGTTTCCAGGTCAGTGATCATCAGACTTGCGTGTTTATGTGAGTTACCTGGGATCTTGTTAAGATGCAGATTCTAATTTAGTTGGTCTGCGTTGACTTAGAAGGTCCCTATTTCTAACAAGCATCCAGACGATGCCTGTGCTGCTCGTCCACGGCCTCTTTGAGTAGCAAGACCGCTTAACCTCAGGAATGGAGTCTAGCGGCAGAGCCGGCTGGCTTTTTGCAAACTGCACAAATAGGTCGCTCTCTTCCACCGCTCACCAAACTCCCCACCCAGCATACCTCATTGTCAGACTCAGCCAGGACCTGGTCGTATTCACTCAGAGCAACCAAAAAAATAATGGAGGTGACACTCTCAAAGCAGTGAATCCACTTCCGTCTCTCGGATCGCTGGCCACCAACATCCACCATCCTGTTCAACAGAAACACAGCTCTCTCAATGGGTGGAACACATGACTCTTTGGAGAAAAAGGGGCAGGGATCATGATACCATGGAAGTCAGTACTTTTTATGTTACTCCTTTAAGAGTGGAAAGGGGTCCTAAGGTGGAAACATTTGGGCACCACTGCTTTAGGCAGTGGGGAACTGCTGGAAGATTCCTAGCAAAGGAGGACAGAATGTAAGTGAAGTTACTGAAGATGACGCAGAGGTCACTCAGGGGGAGCCTGCTGGGGGACACAGGGTAGGAAGCTGCCATCACCCAGGCAGAAAGCACAAGCACCCCCTCGGGCATCACTCTGCCCACGGGCGGGCTGGGACGCCAGCCACGGAGGGGCAGAAAGGCAGGCGGTCTTCCAGGCCCGCTCTGCATCCTCCAGGCCCCGGCCCCTTCCTCTTGTCATGGCTCCTCTAAGTTGTCCACAGATCCTTTGTCCGTTAGGTGGATGCTGCCCCTTCTTCCCTATAAAGATGTGTAAGTGCCCTCTGACAATGGAAATCCGAAGTGTCTGTAGGAAAGATCGCAGGGACTCGTAGCCAAAGGACCGGTCCCAAGCTTGAATGCTACAGGGGTCAGGCCGTTTATGAAAGTGAGTCCGGGGGGCCTCTGCAACGCGGTAAAGCGTGCACCTGGGGAGAGGTGGGGGCCCTGGCTGCAGGGGCGACTGCTACACAGCTGAAGCCAACCACCGGGGGGCAAAAACGCAGGCTCAGGGCGACCGGATCCGCCAGCTCTTCAAGAGACGCTAGATACCAAATGTTTTACATGAAACAGCCCACATTTTAAATGTTGGCTCAAAAGTTTTTTAAAACACCAAGTGAGCCAAAGAGAACACATCTGGGGACCAGACACAGGCTTCGGAAGTAGCAAGCAGCGTCGATGCGGGAAAGGTTCAGATAAGTTCATGGGCACACAGCACAAGGGATGTGCTCACAGAGATGCAGAATTTCTAGGGACCACAGGGCACCCCACTTCCCCAGAAGCACTGAGGTGTATTGAGGTTTGCAGACAGGACCTGGACGTGGCAGGACTGGACTTGTGTTGTCTCAACTAGAAAAACGTGTAATGACTCTGAGGGGACTTACGGATATAAAATGCTTTGAAATCTGCAGTGCTGTGCCTATGTGCTGTATGAGTATTCATTTTTGCCATAATTAAATGCAGTGAAGATCTACATAAGTCATCCTAAAAGTTACTATATTTATATGTGAAAATTCTTACACAGCTATAAAATAGTTTATATATTATGTAATTTTTAATATACATTTTTGTACTGATTCTTAGTTTTCTTTTTTGAGGATAAATCTTGGAAAAGGGAAGAGAAATATTTTCAATGTTATGAAAGAGACATCAGTGTATACAGTGTGTGGGTTATAAAAGTATCTGTGTGTGTGTGTGTGTGTGTGTTGAGATGGAGGGAGTTACACATAAGAATCATCCCAGACATTAATACAGAGACACTTCATCTCCAAGGGGAACAGAAAGGTGGGTTCCTCTCCATACTAGCACTTGAGACCTACCGTAATTCTAAATACCCCGTGATGGAGAGGGCATGCTGCCCTGAGAGATATAACCCCTTTCAGGAATAATGTGTGTGAGAATACTTTCGGAGACTTCTAAGCCTGCACGGACAAATCTTAATGGACCATGTGAGGGAGACATTCTTACCGGAAGATGATGTTTTCCAGGTCAAAGGGATACTCAATGATGCCAGTGGTGGGCACCCGAACTCGAAGCACGTCTTGCTGCGTTGGCACAAACGACGGCATGGCGATCCGGTCGATGTCACTCAGGTAACTGTGACATTAGAGAACAAGGCGCTGAGACTCATTCTAGAGAGAGAGGGAGTGTCCACCCCAGGGAAGTCACCCCAACTTGGAGCGACCTCCACTAAGACTCACGGGTTCCATTAGTGACTTTGAGGGCCAGCTCTCCTACAGCTGTTGTGGAGAGAATATGGATCAGAAGCTTTCATGAGCCTTCTGGGAAATCTATGGGTCACTCCACCACTTCCTCCAGGATCTAGGCTTGATCACTCGCTGGCCTTGAGAGAGGGAGCAGGGTGGGAAGGAAGAGGATGCTGGAGTCTGCCCTCCACCTTCCAAGGCCCTTCCCCCTCCTGCACTCGCCCTCATCCAAGAACATTATAGAATGCAGATGCTGTTCCTGAATGCTTCACTCAATGAGTTAGAGTTTCTAAGAAAATAGGAACGCATGAAACAGGCTGACAGGAAGTTCTTTCCAAATAACAGCAAGGAAAGGTTTTCCTATTACACAGAAATTAAACATCAAAAATAAACCAAAACTTGTCTTGGATTATTTTTTGCTATATATTAAAGAAAGCCCTGAAGTTAAAGAATAATCACTTCTCTGGGGTGAAACAAGAGGGCACTTTAAAAAAAAAAAGCCTTTCTCAAAGGCATCTTAGAGTGAAATAACTCAGGGGCTGGGCAATGACAGAGCCGGTGATTCCAAGCCCAGCAGCCTTCTGAGACCCACCCTCTGTGCCCCATGCGTGACCCTAAGGCTGACCCTCACTGACTTCCATGTGTGTGATCTTTGCACCTCTACTGTTCCACCAGACTGTATGTTCCTCGACGTAACCGAGCACTGGCGGTACCTGCTACCCTCACCTCAGTGCCTGGCCCACCGCAGGCACGCGTCACATTTTTTGCAATGAATGCCTGTCCAAATAAGCAGGCATGACTGGCAGAGCAGGTGACAACCAAAGGCCTGGACCAAGGAAATGCACAAGTGTCTCAAGTCTCACCAGTTCCAAAGGCGGGGTGACTCTCTGGGTTTAGTTTCTCTGCTGTAGCTCTGTCCACCAACCGAGTCACTTTCCATGTTCCTCTCAAACCTGCCTCAGTTTTCAGGGCTCTGCTGAATTTTGTAGCAGCTCCTGTGGGTCTTTTCCAAATGGACCTACACCAAGAGCCCCAGCCCCTCCCCTCCACAGAAGCAGACGGCGCTAGGCTCTGTCAAGGGAGGGCCAGGGGTGCCTTGGCTGACCGGGGGCTGTCCCTGGCTCCCCAGGTCACAGGCAGTCCGCCCTCCTCTCGGGCGCTGCCCCCCTCCCTTCCGGCTCTCTTCTGTGCCCACCACCTCAGTGGGACTCCTTTCCTTTCCTTTTCCTGCTTTGCACCTAAATGTTTCTGAACTTACATCGGTTGTGCCAACCTGGATTAATGGATTAAACACTCAGCCTGGGACAAATGCCAAAGGTCAGATTCCAGTTTCCCTTCCTGCTCACTGCCTTGTTCAGATGATGGGAGTGAATCACCCACCAGGCCAGCTCAGGGGGCGATGACAGCCCCTGAAGGGAAGGGGGTGTCTTGGGAAAGGATTTTCGGGCCCTCAGAAGATGGAATGTTACATGGGCCAAGGCGGGAAGAGCCAAGCTGCAGAAGCAAGGACCGTGGTTATACTATTTGCTCAGTGATCTGGCTGACCGAGGCAGTACCTCAGGAAACTCTTAAGACAATGAAATTCTGTGATCTCACTGGGATAGTTTGCATGCAGAACCATCTTTTTTTTTTTTTTTTTCCCCCTAAGGATAACATTTAAAACTACAGCTCTGTGGATCCAAAAAAAAAAAAAAAAAAAATCATGTGTAGGCCTTTGCAAGTCAACAAACAAAGGGCTCCAGGACTGAGCTTCCTCCCTGTGCTGGGCCCGCAGAGCCGATGTTGCCCACCAGAGGGCAGCACAAGATCAGCCACTGACAGGCCTAGAGCAGTGAAGTCTAAACTGATGGTAGATTTTAGGGTAATTGGACCTGGACCAGTCCACTGATCAGGAAACCGGAAGGCAAAGGGATGTGGAGAGGAGGAAAGTGGAAGCCAGAAGCAGATGCAGTCCTTATTTAAATCAGATCATTTCAGCACCCCGAATGAGATCAGTTCCACGACGGAAACCCCACTTTTGATTTAGCCTCATTGAAAAGGACAGAAGTTCAGGGGGTATGAGCAAGGAGAGAAATCTGGGAGCCGTAGAGGGACTGCAGGTTTTAGTAGGTGGGAAGAGACCCACCATGAAGCAAGAGGGATACAGACAAGCAGGAGGGAGGTAGTGTTGCCCCTCGAGCTAGACGCAGCTCCCTTTTCCCCATGAGAAGCTTCTCTGAGGTACATAGAGCACGTTGGCCTGAAAGCCCCTTGGTCGCCGTACTCACTATTTGGCCGAGTCTGACAGCTGGTATTCCCTCCTCCGGTCGTAACACTCCTGGATTCCCGGGTCCAGCCAGAGCTGCTTGATGGCCTGCGCCTGCTCCCTGGAGAGCGTGGAGACCCTGTCTACTTCCACTTCTCTGATCAGCTGGGCATTTTCCTACACAAATAAAAGAGAGCCTTTTATTAAGCAAAGGAAAGGAAGCCAACCCACTGGGGACTCAGGGACAAGACTTGCCCTGGGTTGTGGATGAGGGAAGACGGTAGTGCTGAAGTATGGTGGGTGCCCTCCGGAGGGGCTTCTCCCAGCCACGTCACCCCGCTGCAGCCACGCTGAGGGGAGCTGATGTGGCTGCATCGCTCAGCGGAGAGAACCACAGAGCCCCACGCCTGTGGCTTTCCGTCCCAGCCGTCCTCGGGGGCCAGCTTCACCTGCACCCAACACCCGGTCATGTGAACAGAGAAACACTGGTCCGATTGATCATCATTAACATGCTACTTATCTGAATATCTGCAGAGCCTGTGGAGCAGTTTAAAAGTAGCTGCTGTTACTGTCAGTGGCGTACCAAGGGTCGGGTGGCAGAACGGGGCGGAAGCAACGGGGCAGTGCTTTGTCTTTAGAGAACTGAAAACCAGTAGTAACACCAACTAATCCCCCGTCTACTCTCTTTTCCTGTTCTTAAAACGATTTTTTTAATTGACCTTATTTTTTAGAGCAGTTTTAGGTTTACAGCAAAACGGAGTGGAAAGTACAGAGAGTTCTCATAGAGTCTGCTTTTCACTATCATGTGTCACTGATAAAACTCCCACTGGGAGAAGCCCTCCCATAGCAGCCCCCGTCCCCACGCCACCGATTGCTGTACTGTTATTATGCATATTATTACCGTCATTATTAAATAATTATTGCTCTAATGCTATTGCTCTATTTCAATAATTAAGGTCATTATTACTGCAATTACAGCAGTTACCGTTTATTGCCCACTTACTATGTGCCAAGGCTTCTACATACATTACCTCATTTAATCAATGGAGGGCTAGCACAAGACCAGGAGCCTTTCCAAACCTTAGCAAATAGAAATGATAAGGTTGGCCTGCATCCACAACATATCCATGTGTTAGTCCCAGAGACTCAGCATCCATTCTTGGCTGCAAGTTGAGCAGACAAGAGGATTCTGCCCAGAAAGACAGGAACCTGGCCCCTTCTTCACTCTCCCGTCTTGCAGAATCTCACAGCAATTACATCACACAGAGCCGGCTACTCACAGGCAGCTCTGAGTCAGCAAAGCATCCATTTGGCAGCTGTGATCTCCAATATATGTGGTACCCCAGAAAAGCTGCTCTTATCTTGCATTGCACATTCTCATTAATAATACAGCAGGAAGCCAGAGAACAGGTAGGTCTAGATTCACCTGGCTCAAGCATGACCAAGGGCTGTGATGAAATCAACATGACTTTGCACCATATCCATCATCAGAGCAGATAGAAACTCTTCCGCTAGACTGTGGGATCCTCAGGTGGGTAGAGTCTCAAACAAGATAACAGAAGGATGAATCAGTGGGACGTGCCCTAGGTGATGAAGCAGGACCCTAGTTCTAAGTAGTGTAGTTGGGACTTTTAAGGATCCCAACAAGTTATGTGCCTCAGTCTCCTTGTTTGTCAAAGGAGCCAGTGATTTTCAGGGGAACTTGATTTATAAAGAATCACCCAACTGTAAGTACGAGTAGCCTTATTATTGTAGCAGGTGCCTAATAAATACTGGGTTGGCCAAAAAGTTCATTTGTTTTTTTCCGTAAGATGGCTCTAGTACTGCTTTATTGCCTTTACCTTCATTTGAAACAATTTTGTTAGATTGTATTGTGAAAGCTATCACATCAGCATGCATTTAAAACAACTTACCAAAATTAGTGAATTTTTGTATAGCCATTTTAATATTGAAGATGGAAGAAACTATGCAACATTCTAGGCATATCATGATTTGTTATTTCAAAAAAAGTAAAAATACAACTGAAATACACAAAAAAGATTTGTGTAGTGTATGGAGAAGGTGCTGTGACTGATAAGACATGTCAAAAGTGGTTTGCAAAGTTTCGTGCTGGTGACTTCTCACTAGACAATGCTCCATGGTCGGGCAGACAAGTTGAAGTTGATAGTGATCAAATTGAGACATTGAGAACGATCAACATTATACCATGTGGGAGATAACCGACATACTCAAAATACTCAAATCAATAAAGTTATTCATGAAAATGAAAAATTTGTCTTTTATGGAAAAACACCATATGGACTTTTTAGTCATCCCAATATTTCTTGTTTGCAAAACAGGACACGTTGATAGCCCTTAACCCAAAATGTCCAGCCCCACCCACTAGCACACTTGATCATCTGCCCCATTCTCACCAGAAAGACTGATGAATGGAGAATCTGGACAGTGTTTGTATGGAACAGAAGGGCTGTCTCCCACTTCCCACCCTCCTCTCTCCACCCTCCCTCCTCCCTAAAGGATCACATGGTGTCTTCTCACCCTCTAAACTTAAAATATCTGTGCTTAGCTCGGCCATCTAAATTTGAAATGTCTGTTTTCTTCTCTGTCTCTTCACAACAAATCCCGAAGTGCCATGAGGGCAGAGTCAATGTCTTACTGGTTCTTATATCCCAGAACCCAGGGCAGCAGCGTACAGCAAATTAACAGGTGCCCTCTGTTGATGCAAGTGTCCAATAAACATTTGTGACATTTAGATACATAAAAAAATGTATCTAAAAGACAGAAAATCACAAAGGAAATAATAGCAAAAGGATGCTAGGGCGGGACAGAAGCCTCAGCTGGTCACCGCAAGGGCACCGGGAGCTAGAGGACAGGAAATCTGAGGAGGAAATGCGCCGGCGACTCTCGGTCATCCTTCTCTGCTTAAGAGGTGGCACTGCGAGAATCATCGGGGATGTTACAAATATTTCTACCTCCTCTCACAGACACAACTTAGGATTGTTCTTCATGGCAAATAAAATGTACGCGGGATCAGCACTTGTCTCTTTTAGGAAGAAACTTCAGTCCCTCAGGAAGCCTGGTTAATGGAGGCAGAGGCCCCGTAACACATTGAACACACCCTAATACGTATGTAGCGTGAGCAATAAATCAACCTTTATTGTGTTGAGTAAAATGAACTTTGGGGGCAGCTGGAACCTACTCTTTCCTGACTGACACATGTTGCAAAGAATAAACCCAGCATTCAGGTAGTAAGAGAAAAAGTGCATCACAGTGACATATCAAAGGGGAACACGGGCTTCTCCACAGGCTGCTACAGGATGGAATTTGAGCAAAGGCATAGACCTGAGCTTTCAGCCAGGAGAAAAAAACATTTTGTCTGTTCGGCTAAGTGAGGGATGCTGCAGGGAACCTGGCACAAAGGACGAGGAGAAATCAGCCTCCTTTGCAACCCAACAATGGGACTTGGGTTTGAAACAGACTGGACTCAAAGGGCCCAGAAGTATTCCGAGTTCACAGGTCTCCTCCTGGTTAGCTCTCCCACCTGTCAAGAGCAATTTTTTTTTTAATTTCTGATTTTGAAATAATTTGACTTGCAAAAATGTAAGGAAAATGGTACAAGAGTTCCTCTCTGCCCTTCAAGATTTCCCAAATATTAACGATTTACTCCCTTGCTTTATCATGCATCCCCCTTCCCTCCAAGCATGTGCATATGCACATGCACACACATACTTTCTTCATGAAACATTTGAGAGGAAGTTGCAGACATAATGCCTCTTTATCTCTAAAGACTTCAGTGTGCTTTCTTTCCATGATGATCACAGTATAATGACCAAAATCAGGAAATTAACGTTGATACAATATTGTAATCTAATCTTCAGACCTTATCCAAAATTTGCCAGTTGTCCTATTAATGTTCTTTTTCTGCCCATTCTAGGGTCACAGTGCCTTTAGTTGTCTCTTTAGGCTCCATGTAACTGAAAAGTTTCTACAGGCAGAGAAGTCATTTTTGTCACTCTGATCAAGAATGGCCTGACCAGGATTACATCCTTTTTTTTTTTTTTAAAGATTTTATTTATTTATTTTTAGAGGGAGAGAAACATTAGTGTGTGGTTGCCTCTCACACATCCCCTACTGGGGACCTGGGCAGCAACCCAGGCATGTGCCCTGACTGGGAATCGAACCAGCGACCCTTTGGTTCACAGGCCAGCACTCAATCCACTGAGCCACACCAGCCAGGGCTAAGATTACGTTCTTTAGTCACTCTGTCATCATGAGGATGGCTGGCAGAGAGAGAGGAGCGCAGCCAAGACTCAGAATAGTCCACGGGTAAACACTATGAAGGGAAGGGAGGAGTGAAGACAGAGGGACCTGTTTTTAAAGTAGATTTTATTGAAATATGAGATGAGTGACTTCTGTCCAGCAGGCCCTCTGATACCGTCACTCCGTTAAACATTTTGTTGTAATGGTGAGATGTCATAGGAACTTAATTCTTGCTTTTATTGATTAGCCAATGGTAAAATTGGTTTTGTTATATGTAGTTTCACTAAAAAGTCGCAGAACCTTTTGACAATATGAAGTGAGGACTTATTGAACACGAACAACAATGCCTGTGTGTCACACAGAGTGGGGCTTGGGCATGTTTTCCTCTGGCGAGGCTAGATGGTTTCATGCCCAGGAGCGGGGGCACTTGGATGGATGGGCCTGTTCAAACTACTCAGTAGCGCCCACTCTCTAAGAGCAGGAGCCCCTTGTAAGTGTTTTGTGCCATTTAATACTGGCTTCTTCATCTCATAGAGAGAGGTGGAGAAAAGTTGGAAGAGAATCACATTTACGACTTGGGTAGGGGACATGCTGACTCTGAGGTAGCCAGCATCTAAGATGTCCAGGATGCAGGTGATCACAATGGGTCTGTAGTTCACGAGAGCCCTGGGCTAGAGGAGCACATTGAACTGAAATTGTATAACATACTCATTTCATTGAAAAGAAAGGAAAATCACAAAGGAGCCAATTCAGTAGGTACAACAGAAACATGACCACTTTCTCAAACACTGAGCTCCTATCTGGCTTTTCCTCTCCTCCTTTCTCAGACAAACCACCCTCTCCCTGCTGTGAAGGAGGGACACGGAAAACAGATGTCCTACATGTGTTTCTCTTGGAAGTTCCCAGGGTGACAGTGA